CATGGTTCCTAGCCACAAAACTGAAGCGTCCAAGTCCAGTCCCACTCATGCAAGCGACTCATAAAAGACGTCTAAAGGTAAATCCTTTGATACCTTTGCTGATTATACTACTAAAATGAAGAACAAAGAAGGTAGTGCCTATGTTGATAGAACCATTAGGGAACTAGTGGTAAAGGTTCTATATGGTGGGCATAATGTACCTGGGATTTCCACTCCTCTATCTCGCATGGATGCTACTCCAAGTTCTGCTGCTGACCTAGGAGAAGAAGGTAAAGATGCTGATAACTCTCCTTCTGATAAAAACCCTAACATAGAGAATCTGCACAAGCTTGCTAGCTCTATGCTCAAGGAAGTAAGAGTAGATGATTTTGCTAACAAAAATCTTGGTCCCCCTGATTTGAAATACAATACAAGCAGTTCTGTTCAAGACAAGGAGAAGGTAAATATTTCTGAAAATGTGGTGGACCTTGAGGATGTCCCGTCTAATGATGAGTTGATAAAGAATGTCGCTCCTGGTATTGCTAAAAGATTAAAGTCTAGAAAAGGAAAAGCTATGATTGAGCAATCCCTTTCTCAGAGCGAGAGGAAGAAGACTGTTGTTGGTCCTCCAAAAGCTTGGAGTAAAGTCACTCCTGCTTCAAAGAAAAGAAAGGTTAGGTTGGAAACTGATTCTGATGATGATGTTGAGGATGATGTCTAGGACCTCACCCCTTCTAAGAGATCTGCTGCCAAGAAAACCACAAGTACTGTTCCTGCTGCACCTCTAGATAATGTGTCATTCCACTCTATTGACAACGTGTCCAAGTGGAAAATTGTGTATCAATGAAGGATTGCCTTGGAAAGAGAATTAGGAAAGGATGCACTTGAAATCAAGGAGGTCATGCAACTGGTTTCTGATGCTGGGCTGACCAAAACTGTAGTTGGGTTCTCTAAATGTTATGATATGCTTGTGAAGGAATTCATTGTGAATATCCCTGAAACCATTACTGATAGAAAGAGCAATGTTATGATATGTTTATGAAAGTGTTATGATTAACAAGTTCCTGGGTAGGAATGAGGAAGGAGATGGTGAAATGGAAGCTACTAAGAATCAGGTGTGTAGGGTAATAACGACAAATCAAATCAATGCATGGCCCTCTAAAGGTAAGCTTTCAGCTGGGCAACTTAGTGTTAAGTATGCCATCCTTCACAGGATTGGTGCTGCAAATTGGGTACCTACAAATCATACCTCAACCATTGTTGTTGGATGGGAAGATTCTTTTTTGTTGTTGGGACCAAGCTGAAGTTTAACTATAAAAGGTACATTTTGATCAAGTTGTGAAACATGCCACCACAAATGCTATTAAGCTTCCCATTGCATTTCCCTCTCTGATCTGTGGAATAATCTTGAGCCAATACCCTAGGATTCTCACTACCAATAATGTGGCATGCAAAAGAGATTCAATTTTGTCTCTTCACTATAAGTTATTTGCTGGAATACATGTCTCAAACATTGTCTTAACATTGTCGCATCGTTGCAAAGAGGGGTCGGCAAAGACAGAAGAGTCTCCACCTTTCGTTATTTATCCTAAAGAAAGGGAAAGGAAACGATCAGAGAAAACCTAACGAGAAAGGGAAAAGACAGGTCATCGCAACCAAATCTTGGGTTCGGGAGTCGGTTATGGAAGAGGAAGGTATGAGCATCCCTCACGTCCGTCGTACTCGACGGGATCCACGCTTGTTATCTATCTAAAGGGTGTTAATCTATCTAAGCTACAGGCTATAGGGACAAAATAAAAGAAAAGAGACTCGATAGAGCATCGCCGCTCTATGCACTACGCCAAAATAGATATTTTGTATCGCCTAATTTAATAGCGTTTTTAAAAAAAGTGCTATTAAAAAGGAAACAAACACATCTATAATAGCACTTTATGGTCAGGTGCTATTATAGAGTGTAGACAATCTGATTTTGATAGCACTTTATTAAAAAGCACTATTATTATAAAGGAAACAAACATATCTATAATAGCACTTTTAAAAAAGTGCTATTAAAAAAGAAACAAACATATTTATAATAACACTTTATGGTCGGGTGCTATTATAAAGTGTTGACAATATGATTTTGATATCACTTTATTAAAAACCGCTATTATTATAAAGGAAACAAACATATCTATAATAGCACTTTTAAAAAAAGTGTTATTAAAAAAGAAACAAACATATTTATAATAGAACTTTATGGTCGGGCACTATTATAAAGTGTTGACAATATGATTTTGATAGCACTTTATTAAAAAGCGCTATTATTATAAAGGAAACAAACATATCTATAATAGCACTTTTAAAAAAAAAGTGTTATTAAAAAAGAAACAAACATATTTATAATAGCACTTTATGGTCGGGCGCTATTATAAAGTGTTGACAATATGATTTTGATAGCACTTTATTAAAAAGCGCTATTATTATAAAGGAAACTAACATATCTATAATAGCAATTTTAATATATTAATAGGAATAGAAATAGAAAATGATTAATTAAATAAAAAAAGAGAAAAAAACGGAAAGGAAAGGGAAGAGGGGAAAGGGGATTAGGGTTAGAGAATTTGCTCGCCTTCACCTTCATCAATACTTCATCCGTCTCACCTTCACACCACCGGAGGACACATTGACCATAACAACAAAACTTCATAACCCATTTCCAACACACTACACCACAAATCCGAATCAACACGTGAATAAATGTTGAACAAGAGCTCTCTCTGCTCAAACTTCAATTATTATTGCAACATCCACGGTTTCGATGCAGTTTTTGATTTGTGGTTCTCATTTTCACTATTGTTGTTATCTTCTCCTTCGCAAACAAGGACAAAGCATAAAGCTTAAATTGCGGAGAAATATGGATCAGTATTGTCATAAGCCTCTTTCGTTACGCAAACTCGACGTCATTCGCATCTGCGACGCGCGACAACTGCGACACCAACAGCTCCACGAGCCTTCATTATCATATTATGTTAGGACTCAAGTGTTAGTCTAATATTGTCTTTCGTCCTTGTGTTCTCTTTTAAATTGTAATCGATTCTTTTTCTTGATTACTAAGAGAGTTATCTTGATGAACATGAAGAGTGCGAGGAGCAAGGGAATTGTTTATATTAGTGAAGTAAGATGAAGAGTCAACAAGAAAAGGTAGTTGATATGAACAAACTGCCATGATAATATGAGTTATCAAGATTTCAGAGGTCTTGAAAATGATAGAAAAAAGGTGAAGGCAAGGATTGGTTATGTGTTTGTTTGTGGTGTTGGTGATGATGACTCAGGAAAAGTTGTGTCTGTGACAAAAACACAAAGAAACAGACTTATATATAAACATATTGTGGCATATAACTTAACTCAGTTCCATGCAGCGACTAGTACATGTACATTTGACCAGTCTAATCTCATTAACCTCTATGTTTTTTCTCTAACATGACATAATTGTCAATAGTAAATGAGACTCACTGGTCATAAATTCAAATAACCTTAAGTTTATTTTTTGCTCGGTAAATAAAGGGATTTGTTTTTTATTTTTAATCTAACAACATTATGATATACCACTTTATGATATAGATAGAGATGGCCTTAAGACTCTTCATATCAGTTCTTTTGTTATATTTTCATATCATGACAAGCCTGAGCCACCACCAGAGGGTCGCTTGCCTGATGCCACTAAAGGTCAGTGGTTTGGATTTGTTATGCGAATTACTCTACATGATTGATTGTATACGTTTTGTTCAGTATTTGATTCTTGATTATTGTAGGTTCCGACCATTTGAGGGATGTGTTAGGCAAAGCTATGGGGCTAAGTGATCAGGACATTATTGCTCTATTTGGTGTTCACACTATTGTATGTCATAACTTTAAGCTTGCTCCTAGTTTTACTTTAGTATTTAATAAACCATTAATATTGAGATTTGCATTATCATCTACATTGTTCAATTCAGGACGTGGTCGTTAATAGTACTACTATTAACGGGTCTGGAGTATCAAAAACACGATACTTCTAGCTGTATAATTCAGCAAACTTATGTAAGTGTTATATATAAAGATGTGTTATCAATGTTATGGTATTGAATGTTTTGGTTATGCTTAATGTAATTGGCAGGGAGCTGCACACAAGGAACGTTCTGGATTTGAGGGACCATGGACTTCTAATCCTCTCATTTTTGGCAACTCATACTTCACGTAAGTCTTTTGAAACATTGTCTTTCATCCATGACGACACCTTTGATCTAGTTTTCAGTTCTCTTTATTGAAAACATTATTGATAAATTTACAGTGAGTTGTTGACTAATGAGAAGGATGGTCTTCTGCAGTTGCCAAGTGACAAGGCACTTTTGACTGACTCTGTATTCCGCCCTCTTGTTGAGAAATATGTTGCGGTCAGTATATTTCCGTAATACTATTCTATGTGAAATTATAATATCTACTGTAAAGTTAATGAAATAATTCTCATCTGTCAATGTTTACATGACGAAGATGCCTTCTTTGCTGATTATGCTGAAGCACATCTTAAGCTCTCCGAGCTTGGGTAAGTCATTTTATCTTACTCTGGAGCTTATGAAGAATATACTTGGTATACCTCTGGTATTTTTATTTGTGGAAATTTGTGTGTGTGTGTGTGTGTGTGTGTGTGTGTGAATGTTGAGCTATTATTGAGTCATTATTGCATTTTTAATGGTACAATTGTTCCTATTCCCAACGGGTTACTATTTTAATATGTTTAATTTTCATTCATTTCTATATTTATGTTGTTTTGTTGACTCTGTCTTAATCAGTATGATGCTAGTGTTTATTGGGTATTTCATCTAAGTACCAATAGAACCTTTCTCTTTTTTGTTTGTGCTGAAAGTGATGATTGGTGTTTGAATTTATTGTAGGCTTGGGAATTGAGATAAACTTATGGGTGCTACTGGTTAGGGTTTATATTTTGGTTTATTTGGAGGCGTCGCGGTAATACTTGCCTGATACTGGTTTGGGAAGTGGAGATGCCGCCTTCCCCTGCAATGAGATACTCTCTGGGGAAAGAGGCGAGAGGAGATGGTCGTAAGCGGAGGCACAGTCTTGAAAGTGGAATACTTCTCCGGGGGAAAGATGACGATCTTGCTTTGTTCAATGAAATGCAGACTAGAGAAAGAGACAGTTTTTTGCTTCAGTCTTCAGATGACTTGGAAGATTCATTCGGTAATTTTCTTTGCCGACTTCATATGAAAATGTTGTGTCTTTCTTTGGTTGATTTATTGGGGTAATATTTATTAATATATTTCTTACTTTTTATCTTACGGGTATTATTTTACAGCTACAAGGTTGAGACATTTATCAGATGTCAATGTTGGAATCTCCATTCCTAGTCAGCGAGGAACTAGTGACTTGCTTAATATAGATGGTGACAATGATGACTATAACTGGTGAGTCATATTCCTTATGTTTAACTTTCATATGTTGAATCACTTTGTGAATTGTCATTGAATAATGTATTTTCGGTTCTGACTGTTTGCAATTTCCTTTATTTCACACTAGCTGTGCCCTTTTGTGTTTCTTTGTATAATAAATTAGAAAAGGAAATCAATGTCGAACAATTATTAGGCCTTGTGAGAATTTAAGCATGGAAAAGAAAAACTGAAAAAGGTATATTTGGAAAGTAAAATAGGCTACACCAAAAACAAAAAGGGTATCAATGAGTTAACTCTAACTGTTTGCAACTGTCTTTGTTTCTACATTAAGAATGCATGGATGTGGTCAGACTATAATGCCGATTTCTTGATCCCTAAGTTGTGCATCTGTTGACTTCTGGTCACAGCTGCTTATATCACTCACTGATTCCATGTTTGTATCGTTCATTTTAAGGTTATTGACACCACTGGATACGCCACTGTTTCCTTCAATGGATGAAGATCCACCATTTACTAATGTTACAAGCAGAGGAAGGCGGAGTAAATCCATTTCCATATCAAAATCTTCTACTGTGAGATTTTAAAATCCTTATTATTATTATATTCTTCCTACATTATTAGTTGGAAAAGTTCCTTTAATTCTTTCCATCTTAAATAATGTGATTGAGCAAATAGTCCTCATTCATCATACGTTGGATGCCTTTTGTGTTTCAGATGGAGAAAAGTTGTAGAAGCAGTAGGGGCAGTGCAAGTCCAAATCGTTTAAGTCCATCTCCTCGTTCGGGAACTAATACATCGCAAGCAGGAGGAAGGCCTTCATCATTGCCAAATTACAGTCCAACTTCCTCAAGTTTACGATATGCTACTCCTACAAGAAGATCATCTCCACCTCCAAATAAGACCTACAAGAATCTTACAGGGGGAGGATGCTGAAGAGAGGCTTGTTGACTGTGTCATCAGCACTACTAATAATGGCAACGAAGTAGATTTTGATTTGGATATATTGGTTACTTTGGTCTGTGAGGAACAGGAGTATATTTGGCCTCTTTTGAGTATGATGTGAGGAGTTTCTGAACTTTCCAAATATTGATTGAGCTGCTCTGTGGCACCAGTTATGTGCTAGCGAAGATGAAATTATCTGAGTTCGTGAAGAAAGAAAAACTGAGATTCCTATCACAGAAGCTAAGTGAATACGAGGCCACAAACACTTGTCTCAAGGTGTTTTGTATGTCTTGGTTGATAATTTAGTGGGTTAATGGAAAATATACTTCTGAATACATTTTAACAGTCTGAAATGAAGGCAGAGGTAGATCAGCCTGAAAATTCAGCTGTGTTTATAAAATATTTTGGTTTGAAGTACTCTTAGCCAAATTAATACATAGATACAATTCCTTCTGTGTTTACTATGGCAGTGGTATAGATATATATGGTATCACATTTGTCATTATTATTTTATTTTCAAATATTTTAGCTACTTAGTCATTATTATTTTATGAATTCTAATGTCGTAAAATGCAAATGCTATATATATATATATATATATATATATATATATATATATATATATATATATATATATATATATATATATATATATATATATATATATATATATATATATATATATATATATATATATATATATATATATATATATATATATATATATATATATATATATATATATATATATATACACCAAAAGAATGATTTTGTGTAAAAAAAAAAGTGTACTACAATAGCGCTTTGTTTGAAAGTGCTATCAAAATCAAAGCAAATTACCGGTACTATAATAGCGCTTTGTTTGAAAGTGCTATCTAATATGTGTCTTATAATAACGTTTTTGGAAAAATTCTATTAAATACCGGTACTATAATAGCGCTTTTGGAAAAACGCTATTAATTACCAGTACTATAATAGCGCTTTTAAAGCGTTATCAAAAATTTTGTTTTACAATAACAACTTGGTTAATAGCGCTTTTAAGCGCTATCAAAAAGCAAAAAAAAACGCTATTAAATAGCTTTTTTGTAGTAGTGATCCTTACGTATTCGCTCGTGCAATGGGAAAGTCAGAGTCAACGTAGTTCAGAAAACTACGGGTGAAGGTAGGGAAGGTTCCTCGCTAAGACATTTCCGTCTTGTGCCTACGTATCCTCTTCTGGTACGAGAAATCAGAGCAAACGTAGTTCGGGCTGACACGACCACAAATCGGTTCAAGTGTTTTAACCGAGTAGGGTTAAACCTTCGTTCCAGTAGTTAGGGACGATGCATGTTTGCGGGTGAACCAAAGCTTAACAAAACTCTCTTTGAAAATGATTTTCAATTAATCCCGGAGGATAAAAAGTTTGATGCTTGTTTAGAAGTCTTTTATGAAGAAGTGAATTGAGTTAAGTTTGTAACTCATGTTGCACTAAAGACTATGACTTAGGAACGAATGCGTCGCATATCGTCCAAAGGGCATACGCTAAACACTCTAAACGGTATGAGAGGAGGCCCCCCAATCATCATTTCCCAAATGCTTAAGGATTGTAGCGTACAACACTCGTTATCCTTTATTAGATGAGTTAGAATCCGTTTTGAGATGAGAAGAGAGACACACAGAAGGTCTGAGGAAACTCGGCCCTAACATTTTCATGCAAAATGGACTTAAAGTTGGGATTGAAAGGGAAATCTACCCTAATGTTAGCATGCTTGGATTGAACACCTAATGTCTCTCCTACTCCCATCCTAAACGGAGGGACTAGGAATCCTAAGGGATCATGGCAAAAGACCAAGAAAACACAAAGCAATTCAATCACAAATAGAAAGAAATGAAAGATGAAATGCAAACATGAAATGCTACCTTCAATCATCAAAGAAAAGTGGGAGGAAAAAGTGTGGGACAGCAGCCACCACAAGCACATCTCAACCAAGAAATTCTTTAAACTCAAGCAAATGCAAAGAATGAACATTCATCACTTTGAACAACAACTACAAAAGTATGCATTCAAGTGCAAATCGAACACGCGTGTCGAAGAAATCATGATTAAACAATCAAGAACAGCAACACAATATCCAAAACATCTCACTCAAATGCATCATACTGATCCATGAAGATTCAAAGTGAAATGATACCCAAAACAAGCTCAAAAACAGCAAACATGACATTCTAGTTCAGTGCTAATCGGTTAACACACATGGTTAACCGATTAACCAGTTAAAAATGTCTGAAAATTTGTAAATTCGCACGGGTTAATTGATTAACCAATTTGCACTACAACTAGTTAACCGATTAACATTGTACCAGAAGTAGAAAAATAGAAATTCAAAAGCACTTTCAGCAATTAATCACTTCTCCAATAATCCAGATGATCATATAATCACTTATGCACAAATTTAACACCAGAATTCAGTGATCTAACAGCATGTAAACACATTCAAACATCAAGATCACAATTCACATAAATTAAAATCAACAAAATCAATCAAAAATGAAGATCAACATGATGATTATGCAAATAAACTCAAAAACAGAATCAGATCTAGAATTTCTAACCTACAAAGCGGAGATTTGCTTTGGTGAATGTTGATTTACTCCAAATGAGCAGATCCAAGCAAGAAACCTGGAGATTCTTCAAGATCCAAGTGATTGCTTGTAGTAGAAATGAAGATCCACCAAAATTAAGCTAAATCAAACCAAATAAGCTCTTCTAGATCCACTTCCAAATTCAGATCTACATTAGCACAAAAATTGGATGGAGAATTATGGATAATAAGGATGAAGGGTGAAGGTTTTAGCTCTAGAATTCAATGGTTCTAATGGAGAATCAAAGAATTCAAGGTGAGAGCTCTAATGGAGTTTGGAAGATGGAAACGTTGAGAGAAAAATTCAAAGAGTGAGTTTGAATTCTAAAAATGAAATGGAATTATGAGGATCGTGTGTGTAAGGTTTGGAGCAAATCATTTAAATATGCTCTAGGTTAGGAGTAGAATGGTGGTTAGGAGTGTGGTTATGAAAATTGGATTGGGATTAGAAATGGGAAATTGGAGGGAACTTGAATTAATTTGAAAGCTAATCAAAATTTGGAGTGGTTCTAGATCCTTCTTCTGGAGTAAAATTAATTTCACAAATGATCAAAATGGACCCCAAAGTGGCTACCTCTTGAAAATTCACGTGTAGAGGCAAAATTTGCCATGGTTAATCGGTTAACCACATGGGTTAATCGATTAAAACCTTGAAAATTTCAAATTTGCTCTTACTTTGCATTGGTTAATCGGTTAACCATTTGGGTTAATCGATTAACACCTTGAAAATTTGAATTTTGGCGCCTTTTGGAGGAAAACCTGCATATTTGTCCGTTTTCACTCGTTCTAAGCCCTGTACAGCCTTTGAAACTTGCTTTCGAATATCAAAACTGTGAGAATACCTGAGATAGCCTGAATGCTACCTCTTGAGCTGAAAATAACCTGTAATATAAAATAAAATCGGTCGCTCGACCGCTCGGCAAAATAAATGCCGAAGCTCCCGATGCTCGCTGTTTGGTCTCTTGCACTAAAAGCGATCTCTGAGCCACAGGAAAATCTTGATCCCATGCCTCAAGAACAAATGCTATGTTATGAAAAGATGCAAAATGAAAAGAAAACATAAGCCAAGTACAAGAAACGGTTGGTCAAATTTTGGGGTACAAAAGTTGCCCCTATTCAAGCGACTTGGACCTGAAAGGATGAAAAGCGAACAACTTTCAAACATTCAAGGTAGAAGCCGGTTGAATACCAAAGAACCCGGGAATTTTCCAACCGCAGAAATAGAACTGCAAACAGTTACTGGAACAAAAATCTCTGGAAATAACGTATCTGATAGTGGCAATGGCAATAAGCTAACTGATTACCAAACCAGAAAATCTCGACACGCAGTCGGAAGAAACATCTGCTAACGTGCAGGAAATGACACTAAGTCAGAAAGATCATCTGATATCACCATCAGGCATCTGTTAAATAAAAACAGGCATCGAACCCGAAGGCCGGCTCAACACGAAGCTGAGAATCACTGCTAACCAGCATGCATTTGCTAAATAAAAGCGAGCATCGAACCCAAGGGCCGGATCAACATGCAGTTGAGAAGAACATCTGACATCACCGCCAGGCATCTGTTAAATAAAAACATGCATCAAATTGAAGGCCGACTCAAAATGAAGCTGAGAATCCCTGCTAACCAGCAGGAATTTGCTAAATAAAAGCGAGCATCTAACCTGAGAGCCAGATCAACACGCAGTTGAGAAGAACATCTGACATTGCTGCCAGGCATCTGTTAAATAAAAACAGGCATCAAACCTGAAGACCAGCTCAACATGAAGCTGAAAACCTCTACTAACCAGCAGGCATTCGCTAAATAAAAGCGAGCATCGAACCTGAAGGCCGGATTAACATGCGGTTAATAACATCTGATAACCAGTAGGCATTCGCTAAATAAAAGCGAGCTCGAACCTGAATGTCGGCTCAACACGAAGTTGAGAACATCCGCTATTCAAAACAGGCATTCGCTAAATAAAGGCGAGCATCGAACCCAAAGACCGGATCAACACGAAGTTGATAACATCTGCTAACCAGCAGGCATTCGCTAAATAAAAGCGGGCATCGAACCCGAAGGCCGGATCAACACGCAGTTGATAACATTTGCTAACCAGCAGGCATTCTCTAAATAAAAGCGAGCATCAAACCCGAAGGTCTGCTCAACACGAAGTTGAGAACATCCGCTATTCAAAGTAGGAATTCTCTAAATAAAAGCGAGCATCGAACCCGAAGGCTGGATCAACACGAAGTTGAGAAGTGAATCTGACAACAATTCACAAGAAAACTCCGCTAGGGAAAGAGAAACTTAGACAAGCAACTCTGTTGGGGAACAAATGATAGGATGAACACATCCGTCAAAAGATTTCTCCGTGGTCTGGATACCAT